AAACTTGCTCCCATATGTACTGTCTTGTACCTTTGTCCTGCAGCTACTTGTTTTTTTTTCCTAAATGCTCCCTTGGTTCCAAGTCTTTCAGTTTAGTGTAACCTTGTGAAAAATGACAAAATTATTTCTTCTGGGTTGTTTGCTTCTTCCAAGGATGATGATTTTTATATTATTTGAAGAAAGAAGATTTTGTCTTTTCTTTGTTCAGTTGGCCAGACAACTCTTCTATTTGAACAAATTTTTAAAAACAACTAATTAAAATACAGAATAAATATATATATATTTTCTCTTTTTGATAGGCCCTCACCTCTGCATTTGTCCTTGTAGGCTGCAAGTAGCAAGAGAGATCTCTGGTTAAGTGGGTTTTTAGTAGAAGAAAATTGATTTGCACTATGTAGCTAGCTGATGATTTCTCCTTTTATATTATTGGAAATATCAAGGGGTCAGGGAATATTCACTGTGTCAGCAGCCTTGAGTCTAATGAGGTTGTTTAGACTCTGCTCTCTGAGCCAGAGTAAAATCTTTGAAACATGTTAGTCACAATTTAACTGAAAGCGGGGGTGGTTTTTAACAGTGAGCTTTAAGTAAACTGCATCTTTTTGAATTTCCTGGGCAGCTGCTTTTCTCTCTTTGATGTACTGTGCCTGGTGATGCTGTTAATGAAATGCATAATTATGTGTTACATAATAAAACAGAGCTAACATGAAGGTGCCTAATAGATTATAATGATGTGGAGGCCTGAGAGCCTAAAGACTATTGGGGGTTGTTGAAAAGTTCCTCTGGTGACAAAGATGATGTCTAAAGAGGTTTGAATAACTGTGCTGATAAATTAATTGTGGTCTCTTTGTGTGTAAATGACACTTTTCAGGATTTTGTATATAGAAAGATTATTGAAAAAAAACATGTACTATTTGCTAGGCTGCTGATGTATGAAGTGTCAGCACCGAGTGCTTCCAGTGCCTATTAGAGCTGCTGGCTTTGCACAGACGGGTGCCCTAGGCAAAGACATTTTTGGCACAGCCTGTCTCACCCGTAGGATCAAAAGGAACCAAAAAAAAAAAAAAAAATCTGGCAATATGCACAGAGAGTAAATTGCATCCTAAAGAGCAGCCCCTCGAATGCAGTCTTGGAATGCATATTGATAAATGAAAAATTCCGCTTTATGGCTGAAGAGTTGTAGGCGTTTTGTGACTGCCCCCAACTTCCCTCCCTCCTTTCTCTGCTTTTGTCACCTACATTTTCTCTCCCCCTCTGTAATAATCTGTATAACTTGTTCCCTTCAGAGAATCTTTAGGATCTGTTTTGTACACATAAGTATTTTTAAAGGAGAGGGTGTATAAGCTTCCAGCCCTGGACGACATGGACTCCTGGTGATGCTGGGCTGTGGCTGGGCTTGCTTGGCTGCTGCTCTGGGCTCAAAAGGGCCTGTCTGCAGGGAGAATTAGCATGCAGAGAGCTCCAGTATGGATTTACAGCCTGCTAGTTACTTGGCACTAATTCCCTTGGGTGGGTGATTCTAATACCTACTAAGAGTTGTTTTGTGCAGGGTAGCTTCAAGAGTGCTTTTGTGTGAGTTAGGCAGGCTCCTTTTTAAAGGTGAAATTTTTCTCACTGTTTCTCACTTCCCAAGCACCAAGGGTAGCCAAATGGGCAGTTAGAGCAGAGTAGCTAATATGCAGTAAATTCACACCCAAGCTCATTGAGCATGAACTTCCTCATGCGGCTGAATCCCGAGGCTCTGCACTTCGTCTCTCTCAGCAGGGAGCAGATGGCCCTTCTCTAAACAGGGAATACCAATAAAGCCTTGTGAAGAGCACAGATATTGTGTGCATGAAGATTCGTGCCTGTCCATGTGCTTATATGAGATGACTTGAATCTATCGCAGTTCTTGGGTTAACTTCTGTGTCTGTGATTTTTGTTAAGATACCCTAAGAGGACAACTTTGCTGCTAAATTGACATCATCTTTGTCATTAGTAGACTAGGGTTTTAGCTGCAGGTTTTGATTTCTTCCTTCTTCATCAGCACTGAGACAGCATACTTTTTATTCTATGAATGTCTGCATCTTTCATGTGTGTATATTTCTTTGTTGCAATTCCCTTTCCCAGAATTTATTCGAACTCTCAATTAATGGTTTTCTCTAGGTCTCTAAGTACTGCGATGTGAAATCAAGTCAATTTTTAGATAAGACTTTGCTTTAGGCTGGGATTCATAAATAAGTTGATCTATAATTACCGTACAACGTCATTTTATGTTAAGATCACATAATGGGTTACATTTTTGTGCAAAGTTTTCTTGAAATTTTATAAATTATTTTTTAAATTTTTATCCTTATTCTTCAAATATCATTGATTTCTAAGTCATCTGCATGTTTTCCTTATAGTTTTGCTCCAGTATTGCCTATATCCAAGAGAATTTTGTATCACAGAAATTGCCTCTCCCACTTCCATCTATAGTGAGAGTTCTGAACAACTCCACTGGTGCTATTGTGGCCAAAGTTTAAATTTACTTACATACAAAAAATATTGCTCAAAATGCTTTTAACATGCCTTTTTAAAAATGACCTCAGCCATCCTAGCTTGCCAAAGATAAACAGCATTTCTGCTTGACAGGGGTTAACCCCTGAAGGAAGTGAAGTCCAACGCTGGATGCAGAGGCACTTGCACCGAGCATTCAGAGTGCTGTTGTAGAGAGGAGCCATCCTCCCTCCAGATCCCAGCACTCAGGAAGGCAGCAGGGCTGGGGAAAATCAGCACATGCCTCAGGGTTTCTCAGTTGCAGATGTAAAATGCTGCTGAATGTTTCTGACAATAAAGGAGGAGGGTCTGGGCCAGGTCAGCTTGACTGTTCCTTCTAGAGGACAGAAGGGTAGGAGGAAGGCATAAAGTGGGATGAAAACCAAGAAGAGGTGGTTGATGAGCCAGGCTCTGGTTCTTGCTGTTCTGAAGATATTCTGTATAGGTTAAAACAATCCCTTGAAAGTACTTTTTAGAGTTTAAGTTTCAAGAATTTTTATACTTGGAGTTTCAGAGTGCTTTTATAGCTTTTTATAGTAATTTTTACTGTTGGTTTTATTCCAGAAGAGTTTCCTGTAGCACGATACTTAAAAAAAACCTTAAAAGGAATCCACAAAAAGGATACTCCATTTGTGTGTTGCAGCAGATATGTTGTTGTGTGTTGTGAATGAGTTGCAGCAGATATGATGAAGCAATTCTTAAAGTCCCACAGTTACTGTTATCCTTTCAACTGACATGTTCCTGTTTTTAAATAAAACAGTTGAATGCTAGGTTTAAAGAGAAATTCAAAGAATGCTGTGGTGTTTTTGCAAATCTCTGGTTATGTCCAAGCAGAAAGGACAGTTGCATGACTGTTGTACATGGCTGACCATGCCATATGAGTCCTTTGTTGGGGTATGTTGTAAATCATCCTGAATGTTATCTTTTCAAATCCAGAACAGAGACAGGAGGAGGGGGAAAATTTAAGCCTGGATAAATTTCCTACAGCTTATCATGCAGAAATGTGTTTATTGGCATTCTTTGAATGCAGATACTTGAAGTGCTTAACAATCTCTAACTGATGAGGTCTATTAAATGGCCATCTGCTGTAATTCACTTTGTCTGAATAGGAGAAAAGTTCCTGGGCAAAAGCCACTTAGTCTTATGAGGAAAAGTTGCATATTTAGTCCCAGGGTAATTGCTAATGAATATACCTGTTTAATGGGATGCAATGATAGAGGAAATAGTGGTATGTGAAAGGAAATGGTAATTTTTACTAAAAAGCCTTAGTAAGGTGTCGTAAGGAAAATTTCTGTGCAGTGGTTTTCACCATGAAAAATATTTGACTTCATTTTGAGTGTGAGACCCACTTCATTGTGGGTCTAAACAACTTTAATTACATTCACATTACTCTCTATTTTGTGCAGGAGGATTCACTCTGAATCCTTTATTCAAAGGCAACTGTACTGATGTGCTTTAGGTCGGTTTCCCCACAGCTCTTAGGCATTTGCAGTTGCAGGTCAGGTGAACTTGGTCTATCTTTGTGCTTAGTTATAGTGGTTGTATGCAACCATGGAGGTAAAACCAATCAGGTAATAATAATGATATTGAGGGTAATAAAATATTAAAATATACTACATACCTCACCACTCACCTGAACATACAGTCACTACATAGGGAGAAAGGACAACTACACTTAGAAGAGGTGTTTTGTGTGAGACACCATGATTTGTGCACATGATTTTCTACAATCAGAACTTCATGCCAATTCATAGTTTGTGATTGTGGGGACAGGGATGCCTGTCCCCACCTAACCCTAACCCTAACCCTAACCCTAACCCTAACCCTAACCCTAACCCTAACCCTAACCCTAACCCTAACCCTAACCCTAACCCTAAACCTGCACCATGCCTTGTACTGCCCAACATTGTTCTGCATGGTAACTGATGTTCCTGCTGCTTGATCTCCTGAGCTGGACTCCTGTTAGAAGATGCTTCATCCCTTTTCTAGCATCCTTCAAGATAATGTTTGTCCAAGGAGCTTGTTCTGTCAGGAAACAGGAGTAAGGCAAAATAAGTTTATATCTCCTGAGCTCAGCAAGAAGGAAAAAATTTTGGATTTGTTTGCATTTTAAAATATTTGTCACAATGCCAAGCTATTTTAAGCAATCTGGCTACTTCATCTCTACTTACTATCCTCTTCTAAATCTGAATTATCACAAGCCACCTGAAATATGGGAATCAGATATGAATTTTAATGTAAAAGTCATGCTTCAAGCTGACAGGGATGGGAGGGGGAGTTGTCACTGCATCAGCCAAGATTCTCTGGAAGTGTTGATTGATAACCTATACCTGGGAAAGGAGGGGAGCACTCTTCTCCTTTCAGTGGACTGAGTTGCTTTCCATTCCCTTGTGAAAGAAGTAGGTAGTCCTGTGTAACCATTGCCTTCATCTCCAGGGATATGAAAAAATGCAGAGTCCTTTGTTCCATTTTTTCCTTAGGTAGAGTTCACAAATGATCCAGTCCTCCCCACTGGTAGTGCTGGCTGTCATGCTGGCCAGCATGGTTGGTGACTTGTTCAATGTATCCCTGTAGGGTTCCCTCATGAAGCTGAAATACATTCCCTACTTGGATGTGGAACCTTTTGCTCATTACAGGAGAAAATGGTGAGGTCTCTCGTGTTGCTGATCTGTAATTTTTCTGTGTCATGTCTTTTGCAGAGGCTGTGTGGCTTCCCTGAGACCAGGAGCTTAGAGAGAAAGAGGGGAAAATGGAGACCCTGATCCTAAGCAAGGTCCCCATGGTGTGATGTGCTGTACAAAGAGAATGAAAGACTCTTCAGGCTTATGGTAGGACCTGAATTACCACTGCCGCTGGAGGCCTGAGAGCAGTAAGTGCTCCATAGTGCCCAGCTGGATGCTGTTTATTAATGGTCCAATTAAGAATCCAGCAGAGGTTTTCACAGACTACTGTCACAATTTCTTGTGAGCAAAAGCTGTAGAACAGAGAAACAACAGCAGAGTATGGTGGAGTGTGGTTTGACTTCTGGATGACTGGTCTGGGCTTCCTGTTATGTTTGGTACCATAAGATGTACCTTTTCAGGTGGTGATTCCTGCCATCCAAGGACAGCAATTAAAGGGAGATAAGAAGAATTGTTTTCTGGAAGTACTTGCAATGACTGCACTAAACAGTCTTTACTAAACTGAAGACTAAATGAATAGCTTGGAAAAAAGTTGCACCCTTTATTTTTTTAATCTACATTAATCCAACATATCCTGGGTGTCTTTCAGTGTAAGAACCAGTATCCAAATCTTCATTTTTTTCGTGGCATTTGTGCCAGGTAATAAGTACCATTTCCTCTCCTAAGTGTAGGTGTTGGGTCTGTATCTATCCTAGCTAGTGACAGCTCTGTACCACTGTCTTCTATAAAATAATTAGCAGAAATGCTGATTCTTTGAGATGTTCTCAAGGAATTAATTAAGTCTATATCCACAGCCAAAGTTACTTGCAGGACACTTCACTTTTCTCTCAGAACTGAGGTTATTGGACAATCTTTTAGCTTCAAATGACTCTAGAAAAATAAAATGTTGGTGACTCACTCTGTCCACATTTTCTTCCAAATGTAGCCATGTCTGAAAGGTTTTAACAAGTACATTGAATGCTGGGTATAATCTAACAGTGTTTATCATGAGAGGAAAAATTGCCAGCAATGCAGTAGGAGGAAATAAAAACAATCTGTGACATTATGGATGACTTCTATATGTAACACAGCAGATAAAACAGAGAGGAAGAAGCCATAAAGTTTCCCATGGTATTCCAATTAGATGACAAGCCCATGGAAAGAATTATATCTGCTTTCCTAGTTCATAATGAGGTCCTATTCACTTGAAGGACATATATATACACATTTATATATATATAAAATTTCATTTTACTCCCACTCCTTCTTTTTTTCTCTCCAAGCACATTAAAGAAAGTTTCTGGATAACCTGATCACAGACTGTACCAATACTCTATAGCAAAATACATAGCATCACAACTTGGTAAGGATTTTATAGCTAGACACTTTACAGGCTGCCAAGTTTTAGCCTAAATCCTCTCAGACATAGTCTGAATAGGCTGATATATATCTCAAATAGCAGATGTAGTTGCTAAGCTGCTCTTCATCATATTTAAAAAGTCATGACAGCCAGGTGAAGTCTTCAGTGACTGGAAAAAGGGAAACTTCATACCCATTTTTAAGATGGATAAAAAGGCAGACGCCAGCAACTATCATAGACAGTGGATTTGTGACCTCAGCGAGTTTGCGGATGATAAAACGCTGAGTAGTCCTGTTCCTCTGCTTGAGGGAAAGGATGCCATCCATAGGGCCCTGGGCAGGCTTGAGGAGTGGGTCATTGTAGACCTCATGAAGTTCAATGAAGTCCTGCACCTGTGCTGGGGCAATCACTGGCACCAGTACAGACAAGGTAATGAATGGACTGAGAGCAGCCCTGCAGACTTGAGGATATTGGTTGACAAAAATTCTGATGTGAGCTGGCAATGTGTAATTGCAGCCCAGAAGGTCAGTTGTATCCTGGACTGTGTAAAAAGAAATGTGCTCAGCAGATTTACTCTGCTCTTGTGAGACCCCAGTGGCACACTGCATCTGGAACACTCAGGAGATGGATCTCTTGGAGCAGGTCCAGAGAAGGTCCACAAAAATGGTCAGATGGCTGGTACACCTCTCCTGTGAAGAAAAGCTGAAAGAGTTGTGGTTGTTCAGCCTGGAAAAAGGAAAACTCTGGGGACACCTTGTTGCAGCTTTTTTAATACTTAAAGGAGCTTACAGGAAAAATGGAGAAAGAGTTTTTATCAGGGCCTGTAATGATATGAGAAGGGTCAACAGTTTTAAACTAAAAGAGAATAGGTTTAGATTGGACATAAGGAAGACTATTATTATTAGAGTGCCTCATCCCTGGCAGTGTCCAAGCCCAGGTTGGATGGAGCAACCTGGTCCAGTGGAAGGTGTCCTTGCCCATGTCAGGGGGTTGGAACTAGATGATCTTTAGGTCCCTTCTATAGGGACCAGACCATTCTATAAGTATATGATTTTATGTCCCTGGTCTCTCCAGCATACTTCTTGGATACTCTCTTGCCTTGCTATCCTCCCAAACAAAAGAAGCTTCACCATTCAGCCACCTTACATCTCTGGGATTTGGACTGATCCCCAGGTCCCTTATAGCTTGGGCATCCCAAACCCTGAATAGTGACTCAAGAGATTTCTGGTCTGCCTCTTAAAGTAAAAAATATAATAATTGAAACAAATTATGAGTCCTAACATGAAGTCTTTGTAAGAATTTCGAGCCTTAGATCTTGTTACTTCACCTAGCATGGGAAATAGACAGATTAAGACAAGACAGTAAAAAAAAAATATTAGTGTCTTTACATGTTACCTTATCTCTCTTTCCTCGTTGCTTCTGAGCATCCTTGAAACTTTAGCAGAAGTTCTTCAGCAGAAATTCTACAGAAAGGTGTCTGGCAATGAACTTTTCTTTCCATGTGTTTTCCCTGTGGACCAAGGTTTCTCTTTTTTTTTACTCTCTGACTGATCCTGCAGCTAACAAGATGCTATATGAGCCTGCCTATTTGCTTCTTTAGTCTTTTATCTCAGCGACCAATTTATGAAAGGCTCTGCTGTTTTTAAGTTCCACTTATTTGTTACACTTTAGTAGTATTTTTATCTTCAAATGCCTACACCCAGATGTCATTTTGTAGAGACTGTTCTCCTCCTCTAGTTCTGTCAGCTTGGTTGAGGGTTTGCTGCTCTGGGAAAGCTTGGGTGACACAGTTACATTTTTGTCAGGTTCTTCATCTTCTTTGTTCAGTATTATTCTGAAGGATCACAAGATGTATAAGCTGTGCATTGCTGGATTCCTCAAATGAAAACAGGGAGAGGGGTCAGCTATGTAGGAACTGGTAGCTAGCATGTATTTATAAACAGGTGATAAATTATATTTGTGTATGCAGAGTAAAATATTTGGATAACTAACAGCTTGCTTAAATGCCACATAAATTTGGATCCTCCTTCAATGGGAACTGAAAAAACCTTTGGTAAACAGCACCTGGTTGGTAGCAGAGAGGAAAAGTGACAGGCTCAGGAGAACCTGTGATTTTATGTCCTCTGCACCGGTACTGTAGAAGTATGAATCTTCTGTTACTTAGTTCTTCAATGGTGTTAAGGATGATAAAACCTTCTGTGCTTGATTGTCTTGTTGATTCCTCTTACAGGTCTGGATAATATCCCTAGGCAGAAAATATGTTACACACTGAATGGAGAAGCAAAAACAGACCTTAGATGAGCAAAGTGGGGGGCAGCATTAAGGTCCAGCTCCATAAAGGAATGTGACTCCTAACTGCTGCAGAAGTCAGTGGGTACATTGAGAAGCTACATTATCTACACACTGGCTGTGAAGACATCTCTGTAAATACTGTTATGTACAAAACTGGTGGAAGTGAGACCTGGATCTTCAGTGGTATTTCACTGCTTAATTTGTATTTAGTCACTGTCATCCCTGGATGCTCTGCTTCCTATGGAGCAGGGAGGCTTAAGATTTGTTTTCTTAATCCTCATTATATTTTTGGAACCTCATTGATCACCCTGCCTGTTTTATTCTGTGCTCTGGGTGATAAGGCTCCAAACACAGCTGTATCTAGTGCAAGGCTGCTCCAGTGCACTATGGTTTCCAGCTACATTGCACACTACTGTAAACACCCCCCTTATAAAATCTGGTTCACTGGAACACTCAAAGCTGCTGGCTGCCAGGGAATGTTCCTTAATGAGGGTAAGGAGTACTTGAACACATCTATGACTTGGCAACCCCTCCTGCTTTTTATAAGCTACTATACACTTCAGAGAGAAAATATCTTAGAGGCTACTTTTTAATGGGACAAGTTTACTTAAGAGCTGAGTGGAGTTGGTGCCAGTAGTTCTGTTTTGTTCTAGCTTAATATTGGCCTTGTCAAAGTTCTTATAGTGTCTCCTGGGTGTTTCTGTATTGCATACCATATAAAGCTGGTTTTGGGAGCCAAGAATTTTGGCTGGAATATATATTATAGTGGTCTCATTATATTTTTCCAAAGTGTATCAGAGGTGGCCCTATATTAAAGATCCTTGGAGCAAGGCTGATCTTTTTTCTTTCTCCCTTCTGGTTTTGCCTTAGCCCACACTGCAGACATTGGATCCAGAATTTGAGCCAACCCAAGTTTGAGGGTTATTTGGTATCCAAGGTCTTGGTTTGGCCTTTAATAAGATTTGGGTAATTAGTGATTTTTTTATTTTATTTTTTTTTAGATGATACCTTGGACTTTGAAAATCATCACACTGTAGGGAGGGTGCTTTTCGTTTGGGCTTGCACTAGCAACTACTACATGGAAAAATTCCTTTCTTGTCTTGCTGACATAAGTATTCACTCAAAGACAGCTTGCCAGCATGGTGCAACATGTGGTGCATCCTGTCTTGCCTCTCTGAGAAGATGTGTTTTATGACTGCTTGGTGCTTTCTTACTGACAGACATCATTAGGTCGTGGACTTGGCAAAGCTTTTGCATTTGAGGGCATCCAGCCCATCTTTTCTAGAGTGTTTGTGGGGGAAGCTGGATCCTTTTCTGGCTGCACAAAGGAAAA